TATATATATATATATATACACACACACAGTACAGAACAAGAGTTTAGACACACCTTCTCATTCAAAGAATTTTCTTTGTTTTCAAGACTGAAAATTGAGGATCCACATTGAAGGCATCAAAACTATGAATTAACACATGTGGAATTATATACCTATCAAAAAAAGAGTGAAACAGCTGAAAATATGTCTTATATTCTAGGTTCTTCAAATTAGCCACCTTTTGCTTTGATTACTGCTTTGCACACTCTTGACATTCTCTTGATGAGCTTCTAGAGGTAGTCACCTGAAATGGTTTTCCAACAGTCTTAAAGGAGTTCCCAGAGATGCATGTAGAGTCCATCCATTCACCTTTTCTGCGTCACACAAAGAGACAATGGTTGGAACCAAAGATCTCTAATTTGGCCTCATCAGACCAAAGCACAGATTTTCACCATTTTCCAACCATCGTCTCTTTGTGCGATGCAGAAAATTTCCTTGTGTTTTTTAGCTCAAGCAGGTCTCTTCTTCTTGTTGCCTGTCCTTAGCGGTGGTTTCCTAGCAGCTATTTTAACATGAAGGCCTGATTCACTCAGTCTCTTCTTAACAGTTGTTCTAGAGATGCTAGAACTCTGTGTGGCATTGACCTGGTCTCTAATCTGAGCTGCTGTTAAGCTGCGATTTCTGAGGCTGGTGACTCGGATTAACTTATCCTCTGCAGCAGAGGTGACTCTTGGTCTTCCTTACCTGGGGCAGTCCTGATGTCAGCCACTTTCTTTGTAGCGCTGGATTGTTTTTGCGACTGCACTTGGGGACACTTTAAAAGTTTTGACAATTTTTCCAGAATGACTGACCTTCATTTCTAAAAGTAATGATGGCCACTCGTTTTTCTTTACCGTACTTATCTGCTTTTTTCTTGCCATAATACAACTTCTAACAGTCTATTCAGTAGGACTATCAGCTGTTTATCCACCTGACTTCAGCTCAACACAAGTGATGGTCCCAACCCCAACTATAAGGCAAGAAATCCCACTTATTAAACCTGACAGGGGACACCTCTGCAGTGAAAACCATTTCAGGTGGCTGCCTCTGGAAGCTCATCACGAGAATGCCAAGAGTGGACGAAGCAGTAATCAAAGCAAAAGGTGGCCGCTTGAAGAACCAAGAATATAAGACATATTTTTTTAGTTGTTTTTGCTTAAGTATATAATTCCACATGTGTTAATTCATAGTTTTGATGCCTTCAGTTTGAATCTACAATTTTCATAGTCATGAAAATAAACTGTTTGAATGAGGTGTGCACTGGAAAAAAAATATCTAAATCTAGATAAGTAATTTTTTTCTTAAAATAAGTGAATTTGTTCTTGAATTGAGAAGGTAAAAGAAACGTTTTGCCAATGAAACAAGAAAATTTATATTTAAAATAAGAAAACATAATGGCATTGTCTTATTTCAAGCGCATTCCATCTAAATATCTTATTTTAAGAGTAAAAATATTAATTCCATTGGCAAACTCATTTACCTACTCAAATTAAGTGTAAATACACTTAAGACATTTTTACTTATTTCTATATCGTGTTTCCAGTGTGTCCAAACTTTTGGTCTGTACTATATATATATATACCGGTATATATATATATTGGGGGAAATTTTCATAAAATCTTTTAATGAAGGTAATTTTACTGGATCTGTTTTGTAGTCTCATTTTATTTGTGCACACATAGGCAGACCAAAAATTGCCCATCCTGAGAATTAGCTCTGAAAGTTTGCCAACTGTCAATACAAAAATAATTTTTACTAAAGCAGAAAATGAAATCAATCAGTTGCTCCCATGTCATCCATTACACATTCTTGTTTTCAGTCAGCTAATTTATCTGGAAATCTGTTAAGAGTTCAATGGATTCAAAGTTTTTAAAGTCATAATGTAAGATTAGTATACATTGATGCGTATAGTTTCTGACAACAGCTCGGTCTGACCCAAGATGGCCGCTCTGTCGGCACGCCCTCTATTAATGTCTATGGAAACAAAGGCCTCTGTTGTTTCCCAAACAGCGACATCTGCATCCATGGCTCATTTAAAGAAAAATAAAATATTCTGACTCATTTGAATTTTTTTCAACGAAACTCTTCAGGCCTGCACTTTTTAGCAAACTTTCCTTTATTATAAATAAAATCTTTATAGAACTGCGCAAATGTCATTAAGAAAAAAAACAAAAACACATTTAAATATTTTTGTTTAAAGAACAATCTAAAATATTTCCTGAACTTTATACGATAAATATTTAATATCAGTGATTATCCCAGGTTGTCCAATGAACCATTAGTTGATATATATTCGGAGTAACAGACATAAAAACTGAAAGAGGAGTTGATAGTTATACGTAATCAACTTGCAACAGTTTCACTTTAGTCTGAAAAAAAACATGATATCAAACAGTTTGTTCACAAATTTATGGTTTAGATTAAAAATAGAGCAACTGCATTGTGAAGAAGAAAAAAAAAACAAATTCATCTGGTCACTTTATCACATAACAATGAAACATTTCATAATATTTTCACTTAAAGATCTTTAGAAGTTTTTTTCTGATATCCGTCTGGGACTGATCTATCAGTGGTGCCAACGGTAGAAAACCTGTGTGCTTTAAAGTCATATCGTTAGTGTAAATTGCATATTTCCTGTTTTATTTTGTAAAGATTATTTCACTAATGCTCAACCTTAAAATGAAAAAAGTTCAACGGAGTCACATTCCAGCAGGTCAGTAGAGCACCAGATCGGTAGTTCCTCTGTTCTACCTGGTGAGGGCAGCAGTCCTACCTACTTCCCACCTGAAGAAGAACAGAACTGGAGCCATAAAATAAACCCAGAATTGTTTCAAATAAGCAAAGACATAGATCCCACTGAAGCAACTAGAATGAATCTAAATGCTTGATCAGTTAAGGTCACGACATCTAAGACAACATGGTTACATTAAACTATGTGCTTTTTATCAACACATTAAAATCCAGTCCAGTAAACAGAATTTCCATCTTTTAGGATTTGTTACATCCAGAAAGAAGTGGCACATTCGCCTATTTAACAGCGTGAAGACAAACCGTGACAGAAGAGCTCAGAAGTCAATAAATAAAGTCCCAAACATCTGTCATGGACATGAAACCCTTCCAGATGTTTTTTAGTGCAGCTCCTTCCCATGCCGACCTTCAATGTTTCCTCTGTGACTGGCACGTCCCACAAAGTTTGTCATGAGTTTATGGCCTCTAAAATGTGAAGGTGAAGCAGCTTGTTGGCAGGTTGGAAGAGATGCGCAGAGGTTTGCGTTCAGTGCACAGAATCAGAACATCAGTAGTGTTTTCTGGTAAGTCCCACCAGCTTATCTGAAGCCAAAAGAGTCAAAATTAAAAACAAATCTTTGAAAAAAAATACAAAATCTACATATTTTTCTTTTTCCTTTTTTTTTTACATTCTTTATATTGCAGCTTTCTGGGTTTCAGGCGTTCAGGCTGAGGACTAATACTGCGGACAGCTGAAGCGAGTCGGACATCAGAACCAGCCGCACCAGTCAAACACTGATTGGTTCTGATTTCACCGACAAATCGTCACCATGAGCTGATTTTCCTCCATTTATGGTAAGATTAGCAAATCTCACAGATTATTGCCAGTTTCCAGAGTCTGCTGGTCTGTTGCCAAGGTCAGAAACGGAACGCAGACGAACAGAACCACTGTTCAAGTGAAGAACCGTCTCTGTTTAGTGCATTTATGTCAGTTTGTTTTTTCTGTGCAGTGTATTCCTGGCTGCTGATCTGTTTTGCATTTGAAAACGTCTGACTGGAAGTTCTTCTGAACCCATGGTCCCGGGCCTGCGGGGTTCTCACCCAGAGCAACAGTTTCTTCAAATGTCCCTGAACTCCAATAGAAACTGTTCTGACCAGCAGCAGGTTTGCTAAACATGGAGGCTCTCAGTGGAATCATCAGTTAGGGTCTCTGTGAATCGGACTCTGCTGTGGGACGAGCCGGGGTCATAGCGGCTTGTCGATCACTGCGACCCCTGAGGAAGCAAGGGAAAAAAAAGCTCATGTTAGTTCAGGTTTTAAGTCCAGGCTCTCTTTGGGACACTGATGCTCTGACGTACCGGCATAGCTGCGGCCATTGCTCATGTTGGTGGGAATAAGGCTCCATTTATCGGTGACTGGATTATAAAACTCCACAGAGGAGAGGTTACAGGAACCATCATCTCCTCCGATCACATACAGCAGCCCGTTTATGGCACAAACACCTGCAGGATTCAACAGTTTAACTGATTAACTAGAGCTAATATGAAAGCATGACTCAACACTATTTTGAACACTTTATCTAAAGCAGCTGTCTTTACATCTAGTCCAATAGAGGCGGTCAAGCAGACCACTTGTGCAAGTGAGTAAACCTGTTTTATCGTGTTTGAGTTTAAGAAAGTTGAAGGTAAACCAGGATTTGATTTCCTGAGGGCAATCACAGATGGAGGTAGTTTTGAAGGAATGGTCATCTGCATCGCAACAAATCTGAAGAACATAAGATCTAGCAGAGGGGGGTGGGGGTAATATAAAGTAAAGGGCCCAGAACAGAACCATGAGGGACACCAGAAAAAAAGAACAGATGGATGAGAATGTTTTATAACCGCATGAACTGAGTGTAACCAGAGCGATGTGATGGGAAACAGTTTAGGGGAAACAGATAGGAGCCATTCTATGTAGGAGGAGGAAGGAGAAGCAAAGGTCATTAGTTATTTTAATTATAGTGGTTTCAGTGCTGTAAGGAGAAGAAGCCAGACTGGAACAGTTTATAAAGATGGAGGAGAGGGGGAATTAATGTGGGCTGGACTGCCTTTTCCAGGATTTTTAAATGAAACTGGAGGTTGGAGATGGAACCAGGTTACTGAATATGTTAACACCAAAAACTGCAGCAGATTTAAATAAAGCCTGGCTCACAGTGGTTGAGTTCCACTTTTTAAATCTCCAATCTGATGGTTTTCCATGTCACACTGACTGCAGTGCTTATAGAAATAAAGCAGATCCTGATCTGTTCAGTTGCACAAGTCAATTGTGTAGAAATGTGGAGGAAGAGAGTCTGGTTGGTGCAGAGAGTTGGTAACGGGAAGGGATTGCGTGTTCTCACTAAATTCCAGTAATTATGAATAATATAGAAATTTCGCAAAACAAAACAATTTGCAAACTGATATCTTTATATTTGGCTCAAAAATGTAGATCTTACTCTGAAATCAATCTGAATCAATACAAACTCTGATGAAGATCACTTTCAATAAAAGGAACCAGAACCTATTCACATTTTTTCCAAAATGGGTTAAAAAAAAATAGCCCTGAATGTTGGAACACTAACTTATACAGTCGTATGTTTACATCACTTTTTTTCATCAGTGTTTATCACTGCTGCTTACCTTTATCAAGGCTGCACTGTAAAAAAAAATTAAGAAGTCTAGAGAGCTATTCTTAAAGAAATGTATTTTTCTATACACTTGTGCGTACAAAACTACAAAATAAGATCTGTCTAAGTCTTTTTCAGGTCAAACCAGAATCTAAAATATGTTTTACTGATATTTTCTTTTAAATAACACAAGTAGGTATAAGATGAGAAGAGTGTAGCATCCAACCATATGCAACACTCCTTCCCTCAAAGACTCTGCTTTCAGAAGTTAATCTGTAACCAGAAGAGTCCAGAAGAGTTTAGTGTAATAACAGTCTAAGTGCCAATGTTCTGGTTCTGGTCTCAGACGTTCTTTAGAGAACAATCAGCATCATGAAGACCAAGGAACCCAGCAGGCAGAGCAGGAGGACCCTGGTATCTCTGGAGGAGCAGCAGAGATCCACAGAAGATCTGTTAGCAGTTTTCCACAAACCATGTAGGATAAAAAGCATCCAGCCAGAGAGACAATGGATGAGTTAGATTGAAGTAGATTCATGGTGATGATGGCCTAAACCTGAACCCACTGATGTTCTTCCTTTCTCTGCCAGCCAATGAACACCAAGATCTCTGCGGCTGTAGGGGAGTAATGGTGGATCTGTGGTCATCGTCCTACCTGCATTTCTGCGACACATGTTCATGTCGCTGACCAGCCTCCACACGTTGCTCTGGGGGTCGTACACCTCCACGCTCTTCCTCACCAGAGGACCATCATGTCCGCCTGCTGCGTAGAGCAGGCCGCCCAGGACCCCCACACCTACAGAAAGACAAAATGCTTGCATAACTCTGACGCTCTGATAATCAATATCATAGCTCCACCTTTTGAGTTAAAAAATATTTATTTTTTTTAAGCAACTATAAAAACATCAACTGCTAATGGTTGCTAAAAACTTCAGGCTGTCCATTAGGGGGTGCTGTTGTCTCACATCAAATGAAGTTACAGACTGAGCAACACTTGATTCTATCTATAAGAAGCTGCTTTAGACTCACTCCGCCTTATAAAAAATAAAATAAACTTTTTTGGGGATGAAGGCTACCTCCGGTTTGTCTGTCTATAGTGTGTGTTGGGGTATGTGGGTGGATGCGTGCGTGCGCACCTGCTCCACTTCTCCGTGTGCTCATATCAGCCACATAGCACCACTGATCGGAGACTGGGTCGTATTCTTCCACTGTGCTGAGACACTGACGTGAAGCGCCGTCGTAACCTCCCACTGCGTACAGTTTACCTTCAAACACACACACTGATGTTGGTTAAATAATCTACGTTTTTTTTTTTTGTTCATATAACAGGCAGCTCTTACCGTCGACTACGCCGACACCCACGCTGCTGCGTCTGGTGTTCATAGAGGTCACGTATGTCCACTCGTTGGTTTTTTGATTGTAAACTTCAACAGTCGACAGACCTGAGTAGAAACAACCAGAAATCAGAACAATTCTCTACTTTTAGTGTCCTGGAAACATTCTCCAGAAATAAATATTCTACTTTAGGTTCCCCCCACCTGGAATACCTTTGAAGATAAGGAATCAAACTTTACTTTGTTAAAATCCTCCAGTCTCAATTTGATTCTGATTCTGCCCCTTGCTCATAGTTCCTCCTGGGATGGGTGGCTTTCATATCAATCACTGTAATCATTTCATTATGATAAATGCCTGGAAAGGGTTAAAGGGTCTAATTAAAAAGTCCTTTTACTGTTAAATATCAACAGCTAAACGATAAAAGGTTGTGTGGATCGGATCGGTCTGAGCTGCAGAGCAGCGGTGGAAGCAGGATGCCAATATGCGATCAGAGCCTTCACTTCAGTCCGTCTGTGACGGTGGCCTGAAACCTAACTTCAGCTGTTCTCACTCCTATTACTGGAAGCGAAGCAGTTTTCAGGTAGAGCTTCAATACATTTAGAATTCTCCTTCACATCAGTTCAGGCTGGAAAATACAACATCTGTCTTTTATCATTATAATCAAATAATTAATGTTATAGAAACCACCCACCTCCAGAGGAAATCTAAACTTTGTGCTGTTTCATTTATTTGACCCCCTAATGTACATTGCTATAAAAACGGTTGATCTAATATTGGCGGTTTATTCTAATTTACGGAGGAAATTAGTTAAAAACATGTCTGGTTTCTCAACCTTCAGCGGTTCTGTGTCACATGTACCTATACTTCCATTAAAGCCTCCCACAGCGTACAGCAGGTCTCCCAGAACAGCTGCTCCCAGTGTGCTGCGTCTCTCCTGCATGCTTGCCGCGGCGCTCCACTGGTCCCTCGCTCCGTCGTAAACGTCTACGGTCCGCTCCCGCAGCGAACTGTTGAACCCGCCCACCGCGTACACTCGGCCCGCCATGGAAACCACGCCTGCGGAGACACAACCGGAGGATGATCTGCTAACTTGTCCGGTTTTGGATGCCTGGGACTAAATCATGAACAGAATGGCAGTGCGTCCGATCAGCAGCTAGATGGTTGGAAGTTGAACAGAGTTGGATCTGAATGGATCCAAAGATTCAATGTGAGGAGGTCATATGTGAGCAGAAGGATCAGCAGCAGAAGCTCTGCTGATCCCGTACTGACCTGCCCGGCAGCGTCTGGAAGGCAGATCAGCAACCTGGTACCAGCGATCTTCCTGGAAGTCGTAACACTCGACGCCGCGGATGGCTTTAGGAGCCTGACCCCCCACCACAATCATCACCTGTACAGAACCACGATTCAGCTCTGCAGAACTAATGTGCAAAAAAAAGAAGTTGATCCGTCTTGCCCGGCGGCCTGGTCCTGCACCTTGGGGATGCTGACAGGAGTCCGCGGTCGTGTTCGGTCCGTCTTGATGAGGTGGCGCTGGTCGGCCGGCAGCAGGTGATACTTCATTGCTTCGATGAGAAAGTCTTTGCAGGTGTTGTTGTTCTTTATTAAGGCTTCTTCCTCAACAATCTGAAAACCAGGAACAGATTCCAAGGAAAATGTCACTTTTACATGATAAACCAAGCAAAGATGGAGGATAGGCCTGGCTTACCTTGACGAGGTAATCCCTGGACAGCAGTGGGAGTCTGACGTGCTCCATCAGTTTGGGCATGTACTCCAGACGAGTCGGTTTGTCGTATTTGATCCAAGATATCATCGCCTCAAACACCTGGGGAGAGGGATGAGGGGGGGATTCAGATTCAGAGGACGAACGGAGACTTTGAAATACAGCAGTTAGCATCTCCATCACTCACTTTTCTGCTACAATACAGGCGTGGTCTTTCAGAGTATAATGTGATTAACGACCCTGCAGGCAGCGATCAACATGATAAAGGAGCTGAATGTTTGCTTCAGATTGCTGTCCCTCACCAATCAACTCCATTTACATGAAATCTTCACCTGAAGGAAGGTTAAGTTGCTCCAGCGAAACAACGGAAGAACCCTCCTGCTGAGAAGTCTGTCTGGATCAGTTCCTGTCCTCCGACCTTCTGATTACTTTGCATCCAAACTGAACTAAACCAGAATCTGCTTTCCTGCTCTTACGTTCAAACAGTTTGTTGTGGAAAAAGGAAAATCAAAGGAAGAATCTGGTAAAAGATGACATCATATCCTGGCCTAATTAAAGCACCAGACAATAGGGCTATATAGAATTAAATATATTGAACTGATTTCAAACTTAACCTTTAAAGCTGGGCATACACTCATTGCACACGGCTACAGCTCAAACTGTACAACAAAACCACAGGGTTTAAAAGTTCACAGCGAACAAAGCATGTTCTTCATGACCTTACGATTCCTGACGGGAGGTGGTCGTGAGAGGCTAATCGCCCCTCCTTACCTCCTGTATACTGCACGACGCTTGAAATATTCTTGCACGACTGGAGTATCGGGCCAAAAAGGGCACACACAAAAAATCAGTGTATGCCCGGCTTTATACTTGAACACCTTGAATCAGAGAGACTGAAACCACAGAGTACTAAACCAGTTGCTCCAAACCTTTTCCTCAGTGGAGACTGTGAGTTGGTCACTGGAGATCAGGCTGGACACCTGCTGTAGAGACAGACCCAGGAACTCCTCGCCCTGCACCACCTCAGAGAAATGCTGCTCTGAGATGCATAAAAACACCAAGTTACAGGCAGCTAGTAAGCTGAGTGACACATGCAGGGTTATTGCACAGACTTCATAGATCCTTTTCCTTACCAGCGTACGCATGGGCCTGGCTGAGAAGCTGCGTGCAGGTGTGCAGGTCAGCAAAGGCTCGGATGCCCAGACAGTTGGTGGGATGAAGCTGTGACTGCAGGAACTCACAGCAGACCTGACGAACGTCCATCAGCTGTAGGAGGCTGGCTGCTGGCAGGAGAACCTGGAGGTAAAGCAGAGGTTAGACTGTGGCATCCAGGCTCCATGTCACCTTTGAAGACTAGTTCCAGGACTATAGAAAATACCTTTACTGGTCTTCTGCAGAAGCTTCATTCAGCCAGCATCATTAGCCTGATGCTATTTTGTTAAACATAACCAAACTACCAACTTTTGAACCTTAAACCAGAGACGGGCTCCCAGTCTGGCTTAAATCTTCTGGTTTTTAGCCTCATTGATGATGATGCTGCTGATCACTGAATGCACCGAACCACACCAGGTTTCCCTCAAAATAACAATCTTCAGTGTGGAAGCTGTTACTACGTATAAAAATATGTACATCTCTGTACCAGTGCGGTGTTAAAATGACAACAAAATTTATTTTATTTTTTAGTTTTTTTACTATTCAGAAAAAAAACTTTTCGTATTTAAGAGAGCGACAAACATAATGGAAGAGACTCCTGAGTTTAATCACAGATCTATATTTTCAGGGGGAAAAAAATAAGAACGGATGATACCGACATTGACCCGAAACAATATCAGCACAAATCATAAATACTTTAAATGCTTAATTTGGAGCTTAAAATATTAGAAAAGGCTTGATCAAGTGATCCTACTCAAAGAGAAAACAAAAGTCAGCAACAATCGGTATGAGAACAACTGACTCATTTATTATTAACCAATGGGTTACACAGACTTTAGAAAGAAGCGCTACTTTTTTTTCAAAAGCATACCAATGTCAAAGATTATAGCTGCAGGGTGATATAAGCTGATATTGGACTTAGACATAACTTCTCTCAAATACTCTCTTCTGCATCTAATCTTTGTTTATGCACTCAGATTTGCACTTTCTTCCACAGATGTTTTCTCCTCCTGCTTTCCTGCTTCTCCTTGTGCACTTACCACTTTTATCTGCTTGTGGATGTTCCCCCCCAAAGTAAAATTCATTGGAAGGTAAAGGCTTCAGAGTAAAACAACAGATCAGTGTTTTTCCTCTTAAAGTTGATCTAATCAATAATTTGCTGTAAAATCTACAAGCAAGCAAGCAGTGAAAGTTACTTTATGATCCGCTAACTCGGGGGGAAAGGAATCTGTAATACGGTACTTATATTTTCAATGTTCTCTGACAAGCCGTCTTCCTGCCTGAAAATATGGATCTCTGATATATAGCGTTGTTTAACAGACATACTGGAAAAATAAACTATAAAATAGAAATAAGAGCACTGGAAAAATGAACTCTAAAATAGAAATAAGAGCAGATTAATATACACTGGAAACTATTGAAATAAGGATTTTTGAATTTTTTCTCCCGAGAGAAAACAATACATTTTGAGCAGACCTTTAAAACCCTCATTGTGGTTAAAATAACATTCTTGAGTCTTAGATCAGTAACATCATCAACACTGAAGATGGGTACCTGGTAGCTCTCACATCTGTTGCGTTCACTGGTCAGAAAGATGTTGGCTTTTTGAGTTTTAGCCTGATTCAGTCTGGTTGTGGTCACCGGTCAGTTTCTTAGATATTCTCAAATATTTGACATAATTCCATATTTTATCTCTTTAGAGTTAGTTTGTGGTTCAAGAATAAAACTTTACTTTTGATATAGTTGGAAATATGAATATAGGTTAAAATGAAGAAGCAGTTAGTGAACAAATAGGAAAACAGCTTTGACAAAGCTTTCTATTCAGGCATCGGCAAACATTTCATCAGTGCGATCAGTGACTCAGGCTCATTAGATCACAGTCTGACTACCAGTGCTGTGCACATGTCTGCTAATCCGATAACAGCTAATGCCAGGGCTAACTTTTCCTTCGTCCAATTATCATTTGCACAGACTTTGGAAACAGTTGGCGGATCTATAAACAGATATTATTATATCTATAATCCTACAGGTGTTTACTGTTGCACATCTGCCCTGAAGCTTCACATTCCCTAAAATTAAACTAAGTTGAATCAATGCAACAATGGTTGAGCTTTCTTGTTTTTTTTTTGTTTTTTTTCTTTCTGGAACCAAACATTTTACTATGTTTGGTTCCAGAAAGTAGGAAACTAAATGCATAAAATCACCATAATTGAAAATCCATGTCACAAATGCACACACAGGAGAAGATATAACAGTAAAACACTCCGGTTAAAGAAACCAGATATAAATGACTCATTATGAATGTTAGCGACATTTTAAAAATGCACACAAACATTAACAAGAGCACCAAGCAGAAAACACTGCTGAAACAGTGGAAGGATATCCTCTCTCTCTCTCTGTCTCTCTCTCTCCATCTCTGGCCTTGCGTGCTTCCTGCTCTGATAATAATAGGAAGGAACCCGCCTGCTGCTGGATCATACTGGGCCTTGAGCACAACAGTCAAGCTTAAGAGTTAAAGCCAGCAGGTAAACATGGCCTCATCCACAGCCATTACCTGCTCCTCCATCCTTCAGTCACCTCATCACTTTTTACTTAATTTGAGTCAAAGTGATGTAACGTTCCTTAGATCCAGATTTATTTGCAGCCTCTCACCATAAAAAAGACAGATTTAGACATCATATAATAACTGTTTTCCTATTTGTTCACCAACTACTTCTTCATTTTAACCTATATTCATATTTCCAACTACATCAAAAGTAAAGTTTTATTCTTGAACCACAAAATAATCTAAAGAGATAAAATATGGATTCATGTCAAATATTTGAGAATATCTAAGAAACTGACCGGTGACCACAACCAGACTGAATTGGGCTAAAACTCAAAAAGCCAACATCTTTCTGACCAGTGAACGCAACAGATGTGAGAGCTACCAGGTACCCATCTTCAGTGTGGATGATGTCACTGATCTAAGACTCAAGAATGTTATTTTAACCATCAACAAGGCTTTTAAAGGTCTGATCAAAGACAGCAGACTTGAAAATTGTTACTTTAGAGAACCATTTTTTGCGAGATGCAAAAACATCGAAACGTTGGCAGTGTTTTAAAAACGTTATAGATTTCAGGATCGACTGTACATCTTCAGCGGGACACAAAATATGTTTTATTAAAGCTAGACGTACCAAACTGCTAATATAAGATACCAAACACTTTGAATTATCAAATATAATGTCTGCTTTTTAAATGATAATTTCTTTCTAACACACAGACAACATTTAATGTTGATCATATGGAAAAAATTTAAAAACGATCCAAAATTAGAAAATAAAAATCAGCAGGTTTGAAAGGTTGACAAAAAAAAAAAAACAGAAGGAAAATTATAAAATTTTATATCCTTACATTTTTCTGTTATTTAGAACTAAAAAAAGAAGCACGAATACTTTATCGTCAGTATTATTTATCAAAATGATTTTATCCAGTAAATACTAAACATTCAGCTGATAAAAAAAAAACAGGAGGCAGCATTTAATACCAGCTTGATTTGGGTCATTCTGACACAGACTGAAAGCGCTGAACAAAACAAATATCCAAGCAAAGGAAAGAGGTCAGGGAAGTAGTTTCTGGCTTCCTGCTCAACGTCCAGGAAGTCCTGACTAACCCAGAGGTATTTCAGACTTAATTACACAAACTGTAAATAAGAACCCAAAAATCTAAAAACAGATTGAGGTTTTGGGATTTCTGGTTCTCTAGAGATCCTTCTTAAATCTAAACCAAACATTTGGAAAGAATATTAGAAAACACTAAAGAGGCTATAAATTCCCCTCTTTGGCTGATTGCTGGGTACATTTTTCCACAAATCCAAAAGGGTGGCCCATCCTAAACCTGCTAACTGCATCTGGGTTGATGAATCAATTTCTTCAAACTTCAAACAAAGTTGAACATTTACTGACGTTTAACAACAGAGGCTGGATGTGGACAAACAGAGAATTACACACGAATTAAGACAGCATCTGACTTTGATGGGTTTTATTTCAGATTCCCACATTCAGTCATGTGTAGAGATGAAAGAGAAATATCCTCCAGTCAAAGTCTTCTGTCCATTCCTCCAAACTCAAGTTATCTATGTAAACTTTAGGCGGGTTTAAACTGGAATAAACTTGCTCTCCTCAAGGCTCCATCCCAACAGTGATCATTTCAGGTGGGACAAAGTAATGTGTCGCTATCCTAACTCAACAGAAAGAAGGGCTAACGTGCCTACTTAGCATGGCACATAGCAACAATTAACGTTTGCTGTGATCAATATTTCACTCAAGAGGAAACCATTATGGTTAGTCTTCTTTGATTTGTTAAAAATGCGAAAAATATATATTTTTTTCTGTGTGTGTAGAGAATCCCTGACTGCAGCCTGTGCATGCTAGCTTAGAATGGCAAAATCTCAGCGATATAAACATTTATTCTGAACAAAATTAACAACACAAACAGTTTATGATTTTAATTGTATGGGGTAAGATGACTGTCAATAAAAATGCATGTGTAGATGTCTGCATTTTTTACTGTATGTCAATAGAGGTGAAGAAATTTAAGTTATGAATTTGCTCCTTGTTGTGAACTCATACATACATGACATCAGATGTTTACAACTTACAACTTTAAAACGATACCAGTACAAATTTATGAGAAAGAATCACAAATCTGTACTAATTATTTGTAGTCGTATTTATATTTTTCCTTTTCACTTGTTAATGTGTCCTTTTTACTAAAACATTGGTGAATTAAACTTATATATTTATGATGTCACATTAATGTATGAGCTGACAACAAGGAACAAAACAGATCTTACTTTTCTTCATTACTCCAAATGATAATTTCAGGCATCTAAGCAAGCATTTTTATTGAATATTATCTTACCCCATATTAATGTTTGCTATAGTAAAGGAAAATGTTCATTGTAAAAAGAAAAAACTGAAAGAAAAAATATTTTTTTTATATATATATAGACTGAATCAATAATAGTTTGCAGCAGCCGTGATGAAAACAGAGGGCTGTAAATATTCATCCTAGAGGATTATTAGAGAAAATGAGGCTTTTTACTGCTCATCTCTATTTAAAAACAGACCTGAAAAGTAACGCAAACTGCATGAGGACAATAGGTGGCAAACATTTTCTCTCCTACTCACCTGGACATTGTCCTCTGTCACCTCTATCTCAGCTGTGTAAATATAGTCCACCAGTTTCCTCAGAGTCTGGCCGTCCACCTCCCTGATCTCCACCTGGTGGGCTTTGCTCTCGCTCATGTCACCTACAGACAGACAAGTAATCACCTTCAGCTGCACAGCAGAGTTACAAACCAGATTCCCATGCACACACAAAGCTTAAATCCAATACCTGTGAACATGGCACAGAAGTAAGGGCTACAGGATGCCAGGACCACCCGGTGGGCTGGAACTTCAACGCTACCCGCCACCAGCTGTACGTCACACAGCATCTTTTTACTGAAGGACAGGCAGCAGCGTAGAAACAGGTTATTAGTTTGTCAGTACTTACGACAACATATATGCTCCAAACCGTATCTACCTCCTCAGATCGTTCATCAGCTGGAAGGCTTTCCTCATGTGTGTCTGGTTGAACGTGTGAATCCCTCCGTTCACCGTGTCCTCCTCTGAATCCGTGGGGCAGTTTGGACGTGGCGAGGCCGGTGGGGCCACCAGACTGGTAAGACATGAGAGGCAGTGTCTGGATCAGTGGAGATAGATGGGGACGAACCAACAAGTTAGAAACAGGTAGGATTATCTCAAAATCAACTTAAAATTAGTGTGGCTTGATAACTAAAAAGGCGAGGCAATTAACTCTTAGAATCGAAGTGTTTTGTTCACTAATGGAGGAGAGTTGGCCTAGTGGTTGGAGCAGTGCGCTTGTGCTCTGAGAAGGCTGCAAGTACCCGGTTGAATCCCCACAGCCTGCACTCTGGGTTCCTGAGCAAAACCCTTAACCCCACACTGCAACCCTGGCGCCACACAAGGGCAGCCCACTGCTCCTCACGGGGATGGGTCAAATGCAGAGAGTTAATTTCCCCATTACCAGACAATAAAGGGATTTACATAACTTCTATTATTAAGTTAAAATGGCCCCTTACAGGGAAGTTTCAGCCATGTTAAAATTTCCTCTGCACCACAAAAACTGACATTATCAGGTCCTTAGATGTTAAAGGTTATCCGGCAGAGGTCAAGAAATGTTTCCACAAGCAAAACAAGATGTTCTACTTTTAATGTGGTTGAAGTTCACCACTGTCATTTTGATGTTTATATGCTAGATTAGCACCGTCCTGTTTGTTATAACATCAGCTAATGCTCAAATAGCAAGATACAGAATAGAGACCTTTAAACAACACAGACTAGGTCTGCAGAAAAGACTAATCAAAAAGCAAAAACCCAAACCACCAACTTTCAGATTACTGGTCAACCCTTATTTATGTCTATATGATATATTTCCTTGTATAAAAAGTAAAGTAGCTATTTGTACCAAGAACAAACACATCAGAATAAACAGGATCAAACTTTACGTTCGTTAATTATTTACAGTAGAATAACTAAACCTCCTAGCATAGCACGCCATATTTTATTGTTCAGTTGTAACAAGTACTGTAACTGTACTACTGAATGATGCTGAAGATGATGACTGTACTTCTGAAGAAAACTCAGATCATCCAGTGTTGAAACACTGCCTGTGTAAAAAAATAATTATAATAAAAACAAAAGAAAACAATTTTTCCAATTTTTAATCTAAAACTTATTCTTATAGATCAATTCATTTCACTATGTTTTCTTTTATTTCCACCGTCCTTCCAGTTGCTATTATTTACCATTAAGTTATAACTTTGCAGCTAAATCTTAATATAATACTAGTATCAATAAGCTGTAAAACTTACGAGTCATGTAATTAATAAATGAAATTAAAATGTGTTAAATAAAATTTTAGATTAAATCAGAAACACTGATTCTAGATCGTGGGAATCATAATTAAAATCATTCTTGAACTTTAAAATCGATGTCTATCCTTATTCCCAACAGACATTAGTCAGAGTAGCCTTATCTGCCATCCTGGGATGAAAACCATAAAGAAAAACCCTGAGCTCATCAATGATGTGCCTTCTGTCAAAAACCTGCTCAGATCCACCACAGCTTATGACATCCTAGATCTAAGTCTGTGATGGCTCTCTGCAGAAACATTATCAAAATTCATCTAACATCTCATTTACCCTCTGGTTTAACGAGGTACTAATCTGTCATTATTCTATCCAGCACATTGTGTGACCTTCATTATTTTTGGCACTACCAGCTCTATTGTAGTGACACTCTATTCAGCAGATAAAATTGTTTATTTGTACTCTAAACAATAAGCTGAACCATTCCTATGGAAAAAAAAACGATTATCAAATATTCAATTAGTTAATGAATTGAATAATCGTTACCTGAAGTTAATGGACTAAAATGTGACATCACAGCATCGTAGCATATTTTGCTATATGATTATCAATCTATTAATCAAATCTAGTCAAACTTTAATCAGTTAGAGTATTAATTCCAAATCTTGGCCAATAAAAGTGTTAACTATTGCCACTTATAGCAAAATGGCCAACAAATATGTCTTTAGTGATATTTTGGGGGAGGGGTGACCTAGTAGTTTATTAAAATAATGGTAATTTTTTTTGTATAATTTTAATTTATATATATAGGCACAGATTTTGGGATGTAGACACATTTTCGATGCATCTTTTGAGTTTTAATGACTGCTTTTACACACATAACTGATTTTAAAAAAAAAAATCAGATGTCAGTTTACCATCAAGTGTATTTTATAATTACAGTTTAGCCAATGATCCTGCCAACATAGATGTTAATGTGACTCTTTGGGGAATATAAACAAATTAGGGGGGAAATCCAAAAAGAAAACGTGTTTTCTATTTACCCTGATTTGATAACATCATTGAAAATTGAAGATATGAAAATTAACATAGCCAGTATATATTACACATCAAAACATGCCTGTGTGTCCACATCTACATGCAACAGATCTACACATAATCCGTTTAGATTCTGTTGATCATTCTATGTGGATATTGGCCTCATTGTTGGGATATATTTAGACTTATAAAGTGAAGGATGAAGCTGTTGCAGAATCGTTTGCTTTTGAACCTCCAGGCAGAGTTGAGCAGTGAGAGCAGATTGTAATGTGGGTGTGTGGAGTTTCTGATCATGTTATTGGCTCTAAAGTGATAAAGATGCTGGAATTAAAACCAAAGGCTGTCAACCAGTGGTCAGTGGATGTCAGCCATTAAGTAAAAAAACCAAAAACTTTAAAATATGTGCCACTAACACTCCTCTGTTAGCAGCAACAGGATGGCTAGCTCCTAGCATCGCTGTTTAATAACTTGTAAGCCAACAGGAGCTTTTAGCAGCTGTTACCTTCAATAAAACATCACCGCAGCTTTAATCTGGATCTATTTTATGATTGAGACAGCTCAGTTTAAGTGATATTTGCCGAGTATCGGTGTGGTAACTTTGCTTTGAATTTGACTGCATCGCACCAACTGTCAGCAATGCTAGCAAACTAACCGAAGCTAAGAAGCTAGCTTAGAGTTCCTGTAGCGGGAGGAGGTGTCGGGAGCACGGCTTGGATATGTGGGTCATGTGGACTAAAATGTTCTCCGGCAGATGTAGAATCAGCGTGAATGGCAGCTTTGCTTAATAATCCTCAGCGCTGAGCCAACTCACCCTAACGACACACCGTCCATCCTCCCGGAGTCAGAGCGCACAGCAGGCATGAGAGCGCTGCCCGAGCATCCAGCGCAGCTCGTCTATTAGCGAGAGGAGTCACTCTGGCAACACAGCTGTTGCTTTTCAGGCAGAGCTTGTATGTTCGCAAGACGAGTCACTCAACCTGAACATTAATGGTCTTGCTTAACACTTCGCATTTAGAAGTATTTATTTATTTGTTCTATATTTTTTGAGCAATTATTGACGGAAAATAAGCTATTCAAATTGTTTTCTGGAAATAAATTAAAATTAATCATTAAAAACTTACAACAGAGAAATAGAAAATATTATGAAAATATAAATTCTCCTGAATAACATAATAAAGAAGTTTTTTTTAAAACGATCTATATCTGGTATCCCGTGAAATGTTTTTTGTTTTATAAACTATAAATGGGACCTTGACCCAATGTGAAACTTTTGTGTGGATAATGAAACTCTGGTTGATCTCTTTTGTGGCTTTTTTTTTATACAGAAATGCAGTTTTTTTTTTTTTTCATGAGTACCCAGGTGTGCTTAAATGACAAAATATATTGTTTTGTACAGTGAAAAAAAATAAACTGCTTATTATTGAAATGTTGTATTTTAAATCTGTTTAGATTTTATGGCAAATACAAAACTCTCTCAGAGTTGGGTCCTAACTAGTTATTTTTACTCATTGATAGCTTGAGTAACGTTTTTGGGGGGAAATAAATATATTTGCAAGTAATTTTACTGCATTACAGCTTTTACTTGTATCTAAATATTAAATATTGCTACTCTTACCTCTGTGAACATTTGGGGTGTTCAACCTGTTGCAAATTGCTTTACTGAAACGTCTTCTAAGCCAAAAATGTACCAGAAACAAGCAGCTTATGTGTGTCACTGTGAACTATATTTCAATTCTGCTGTGGCGTGTTAATACTTTCTCCTGTTTTTAATTATATCACCTACTCAGAGTATTCATTTTATACGGGCAAAGTGTTTCTTTTGCTTTAATTAGTTGAGCTGTATTATTAGGAGGTTTTAAAAGTATGTACATTCTTTATTAAGGATTAAACTCCATTAATAAAAAAGTGCACAATCTACGTTTTTCTCAAGTACAAAATACATAAAGTTCTGCCTATAACTATATGGAAAAAAATAAATATGCACAGAAAATGGGTAATTTTCCTCTTTTGCTCATTGTGTTGGTAGAAAACTGACTTATTCTATTTTAGTACTTAGTTACTGAACACCTCTTATTATTTATATTTTTAGTCTTTAAAATATCAGAAAATGTACAAAGCTTTTTAACTTTGTTGTGTCTTACAGCATGTATCAGAAATTCTCATCTCTTGTTATAATCTTTTCCTTGCTGGGTAACTTGATGTTTACTTTTTACTTTTACTGGAGGGAGTTGAAGTAGTACTATTCTAGCGTCAGTACAACTCAACAGTATTTAAATGGTCACAAGAGAAAAACCATCAATATGATGCTACTACCTTCTATCATATGAAAATAGTTTGCTTAAAGTCAAGTTCAGGCCTGCAGACGAGCCAAGCTATAAATGTCCTGAAAAACCTGCTGCCATTTGGTTATAATTTAGTGTTAACATATAGTGATTACTATATATGGGTTTTATTTTATTTTTTATTGTCCTGTAATTTCTTGATCTTTTTTTTCCTTTTCACTGTCTCATTTTCTGCTGGTTTAGCTTCCATATTTGACCTATTTTATATTTTGTAGTAATTAAATAATGGAGCTTTTGACAATTCTCCTCACATTTCAAAATATACACGTTTATGTCATTATATTGTATTGATCGCACAGCTGTGATGTAAAATAATGATCTATGAAGGGGGACATTTTTATAGTGTAATCTGTACTGACTTTGCATTTGCCATATTTTGTTAACTTAACCCCATACTGGTTAAATGGCTTTTTTCCATCCATTTTGTATTCATTTATT